CAATGCGTTCTTTATCATCCACAGTAACGTTTATAGGCATGCCAAACTCTCCTTTTTCTCTACCTTTTCTTCCTAGACTCACCACTATAGCATCTGTCTGAATATTAAGTCGTTGTATTCTGCAATTGCTCGAGTCTGCAATTAGGACTTCGTTGTTATTTAAAAACGAAATGCCATTGGGAAACTGAAACTGTCCTGTATAGCTACGCTTGCTTCCAATTTTTCTCATACAGTTGCCATCTTTATCAAAAACATATACACATTTACCACGGTTATCTGTCACAACTATCTGGCCATCTGTATTCACAGCAACTCCATATAAACGTTCAAGTTTGTCCCCTGGAAAGAGCTTTAACTTCAACTCACCAACCACAACAAGTTCACGTTCTTTAACCTGCACAATCGTGGGACAGGTCGGTAGTTTATCTCCATTAATCTTTACTTCAATGCTGTAGGCCCCAGGTACTTTGGGAGTAAATTCTAGCCCAAAATTTCCGTCATATTTCTCATTAACAGTCACGTTTGTAACATCTTTGGCAGGTGTTATCAGCAATTCGACTTGATCTTTGAGGTCAGCGTAGTCACTCATCTCTCCTTCGGATGTCCGTGGGCACAAAGTAAACTTTCCTTCTTCACCGACCTGAAAAGTTTGATCCAGTCCTTCTAAAGTTGATTTAGCTGCGATAACCGGCTTCTCAGAGACTTGAATAGAACCCAGTTTAAAGTTGTGTTGCGATGCGGCGGTAAATTTGACAAATGTAGCCTGGCGATGTTTTGGAACTTCAACTCCACGAAGCTCTTCAAGTTTCTGTCTCAATTTGTTTTTGTTTTGTATGATATCCACAGTTGATCCTCTTTGCACCAGATCCTCCGCAAATTCAGCTCCTTGGAGCATTTGTTTTACCAGAGATTCCAGTTCTTGTTTAGCCGAGTTAACTCGCTCTAGTCTCTTCCTACGCATCACTTCTAAGGACTCTAAAAGCTGTTTTTCTTGTTGTCGCGTCTTTGTGATCACGTGTTCAGTTGCCTCCGACACTTCTTGTTTAGCGATCGCGATAATCATTTCCACATCCTCTGATGTTTCCTCTAATTTTCTTAACTCTGCTCGAAACAAGTTTGCCTTTTCCTTGATGGTCTGGACAGTCGACACGATGTTTTTGATGATCCTCTATGCACTGCTTTTTCAAGCACGTCAAACGCATGGCCTCGGTGGTCTTCGGTGACGCAAATCGGACAAATACACACCTTACACGAGGAGCAGTAATATCGTAGTCTTTCTTCCGTATGTTGCGAGCAAGTGTCCTGTTGTTGCCTTCCGCTTGAAGAAGGACACCTAACAGACTTTTGTGGAAAAAGCTGCTAGGCAAGCGGTCGAAGCAATTTCCTTGTGGTAAATCGATTTCTGCCTGACACTCGGGGCATCGGAATTTCCCTTGTCTCTGGCTTCTCTTGCATGTCTCTCTAAACACTCACAGCAAAATGTGTGAAGACATGATATAGTTTTGGGCTCGGTATAGGTATCGAGACAAATCGAGCAAGTAAGTTGTTTCGTGAGGTTCTTTACGAGAGGATTCATGACGATCGCGTTAAACTGTAGTTAACTGATGTGTTACCAATGTTAAAGCGACGAGCTTAGTCAAAACACTCATACGAAATCAGAGATATTATTTCAGTTTCTGAGAAAACAGCGCAAAGTCTATGACAACTGACTTCTTCTAGCCAATCACATTCCTAAGCTCAATTGACCCTCTGTAACGTTATATTGTTTATCTGAACACATGAAGCCTCGATAAAAGCTGTTAAATGATCAATGTTACGCAATAATGTCACGGCGGAATTATAAGCAGTTTGTATGGGAATTTTACGAACGTCTAAGGAACAAAACAATACGTCAAATTGAAGGAAAATATCTCACCTTACTCCAGCGTATCACTTGTTATCAACCGCTTTTTGCTTGTTTGAACGTTTTTTAGCTTGTTGTTGCTCATTCGAACTTTTCGAGCGTAACATGGACTTTTCTTATGTATCCGTAGAAAACCTCGAGCAATAGTAGTTACTGATGTTTCGTAACCTGAGCACAGGTCATTATCAGGATGATCAGTGAAAAATGCGTTCTGCCTGACACTCGGGGCATCGGAATTTCTCTTGTCTCTGGTTCTCTATTGCATGTCTCTGTAAACACTCACAGCAAAATGTGTGAAGACATGATATGGTTTTGGGCTCGGTGTAGGTATCGAGACAAATCGAGCAAGTAACTTGTTTCTTGAGACTCTTCAAAAGAGGATTCATGACGATCGCCTTAAACTGTAGTTAACTGATGTGTTACTAATATTAAAGGGACGAGCCCTGTCAAAACACTCATGCGAAATCCGAGATATTATTTCAGTTTCCGAGAAAACAGCGCAAAGTATATGATAGCTGACTTCCTCTGGCCGATTACACTTCAGGACTAATTTGACTTTTTTGTAATGACAATCTTGTGGTGAGATTTTCCTTCTTAGTTCTCAGACTGTTATCGATGCGCATTTCGAGGAAGAAATTTTTGCATGTAACTCCACATAAGGATGGATAATCCTTACAAACAATTTAAACACTTCGCCTTTGCTTCAGATTCCTAGAAAAAAATAAATTTTTCATTTATTTGGATCTATTTCTGGCCAGTCACGTTCCTTGACTCAGTTGACTTCGTTGTAACGAAATCCGAATTTATCGTTAATAGAGGATGAAAGAATTCATGGATTTTAACTGGAGGGAAAGCTTCGGGCGTTTTGGGAGGAAAATATTTAGATGAGGAACGAGAAAGGTCTGAAAATCGCAAAACGCGTATAAACGGCTCATTTTAGAAATGTGTTGGCCTTCGTATTTCTTCAAAATATGGTCATTTCTTCTCTCCTTCCTTCGTCAGTGGCAACCCTCTCTCGCTCATGAAAGCATGAAAGGGAATTTGTCTCACAACGTCTTCATCAACGTTAACTGAGACCAAAATTCGTTTTTTTACTTTCTTGTGGCGAGACATTCGACCATACTTTACGTCTTCCTTATATGGAGTCTATCTTTAATTAGTTATTCTCAGTGAACTTTGAGAGTGCAGACAAGACGCTAATGTTTTTGAGGAAATCGTTCGAGGTAAACAGAAAATTGATTATTTTCTTTTGAAAAAACTAGAAAGCTGCTTTTAAAGGCTATATTTAGATTTCCGAGAAAACAAAACGGAAATCTGCCATGACCTCTTCCGTTTGTGACATGCAACTGTTTATCTGTTTATCCTTTTTTTTTAACGCATGCTTCTCAATATCCTAGAATTTGATCAACTGTCGAATCATTAAGGTTCTTTAAGAAAAAAGCAAGACAAAAACTTCAATTTATTCTTTTCAGTTAAAAATGGAAATCCTACTTGATAATTTTAATGGACAGAGTGTCAAAATAATTTGTTCTTGTCAACTGAGTTGATAATGTAAATTGGCCATGATAACACCGGAAATCGTGAGCGGATTAGAGTTTGTACTTCAATCTTCAGGTCAGACAGGAAGGCACGCAAGCTGATTTATGCAAATTAGCCACATGCCGCTTGTTTATTTCGCTTCCCGTTAAAGGCGGCAAAGGGGTGAATTTATATGAAAACGAACTCGTTACAGTTTCATACATTCGACGTTCATCTCAAGAAACAAAAAATTGCCCTGGATATATTCCTCTTAATCAAAAGAGGATCATCCTCTCTTGTCTTAACTATGGATACTTCCCATTTGTCTAAACTGACCCAAAGGTTTGCAACAGAAATAGGTCCGCAATAGTGATTCATGTATATTTAAACGTAGACAAATTATGTAATATCCAAATGAAGCAGGCAAAAATTGAAATATTTGAGGTGAGTTCTGATTTACCATCGTGTTAACCCGTTCAATAAGCACTTTATGTAGTTTGTTCCATTTGGTTTTGTATAAAATATTCAATTACTCAACAATTCGCCGGCGTTTCTGATGGTTTAGTGGAAGAAATGGGTCGACAGTTATTTTCATTCACGTTTTATTTATTTGTTTATTCGAAATTTTTTTTTTTAAACTCATCAATGAATTTATTTGTTTATTTTCTATTGCTTTATTGTTATCATTTTTTTTCACTAGGAAGGGTAATATTACCAAGAGATGAAAAAACCGCTACATTTACTTGTCAAAACTTTTCTTATTTTTTCTTTTTTACAAAAATTATGTCGTAGAATGAAAGTAGTGCTCGTAAGAACAGAAATGCAAACCTCTCTAGTCATGTGATTCCAGCAAGAGTGATCCATAAAACCATTGTTGCAGGATTAAGGTCTGCAATGCGTACGTGCAAGAGCTGTGATTGTTGTGGCACATGCCATTCACAACGTTTAAAACCCAACCCTGAGAACTCGCTTCCTCCTCGGGATGAGTGTCAAGTTCGCTAGGCAATCAGGGACATGTACCGCGAAATCTGTAAGCGAGTTCATATGAACTAAAATCGCTACCGTTGAATTTTTGGACATAAATTTATTTAATAGTGTGAGGGTTTATCTTACAACACTAATGACTTTTCACCACTACTGCTTATCCCTGTTTTTGTCCCGTGAAGAGGTATGAAGTTTTGTTGCCTCAGCTCCGGTTCCTGATGGCCGATTATAGTTAGACTATAAATGAACTCGCCATGACTTTTTTCATTTTCCAGGGAAACCAATGAATTTTCAGTAACACATGGAGCGCCTCATGATTTTGTAGTAACCTTGAGACGTGAAATGATATGCGTGGTCCGCTTTTTTCAGTGCAAATAACTTTAGCTCCGCTTTTAGGCTTGGCTAAATCTATATTATTTAATACTTAAAGTTATTTTCTAATCATTCATAACAACAAACTGTAAATGACTTTAAGTCTCATTTATTCAATGCATTTCTTATTCGTCTCGCTTTGTAATATGCAAAAAAAAAAAACTATTTCTCAAAACAGTTTAAAGCTAACACTTGAGTTTAGTTAGAAAATCAGTAACCACCTCTAATTATGACGTAATTAGCCAGTAGATGCCCATTTTTAAAAACAGTTGTCACCTTACTTCTTGTGCTTGTTGATTACTTATACATGTGAAATTATGCAATCATAAATTGTCCTTGAATTAAAGTTTAATTAAAGATATATTTTCTTAGATTGAAAAACCCGGACTTAATCTATCCTGACAAATCAATGATTGCAAAAAGCTGCACATGGTCTTAACGTTTTCCAGCTATATATTTTAAGTATACAAAAAGTCAAATTTGTTTAATGTTTCTGTACAACATGTAGTTTGTCTGCTACACCAGACATTTATGAGGACTCGCCGTTAAAAATCTTGGTCTAGATTATTCAAATCGCTACCGACAATTCGCAGAAATTCCTTAACCTTAAAGAAAAAAACTTTAGATCGGAGAAAAAAAACAATTAAAGAGGATATTAATGACCCAAGAAGAAACATGGATGACCAAGTGACGAGGGATGGAAAAGATTAAAACGGCTTGAAACTGACGAACTTGAAAGACCTGGGCTAATTACTTCAAGTCAAAAGGTTTTTGTCTCTAAGAGCAAGTCTTGATATTATTGCTAAGAGTTCTTCCAGACAAATGATAAAACAGCATTAAATAATTAATCAGAACACAGGTAAGGAGAGGTTCAGGAAGCAAAGTTCACTTTTGTAAAAGTCTATTTCAAAATGTACACTTTTTTCTCACCATGGCTAGCAACAAGAATGCGCCCGTCTGATGCTTTTGTTATCGCCGTAGGATTAGATAAACGGGTGATACTTTTGCCTATGAAGCGACCGTCTAAAGAAAACTGTTGAACTCGGTTATTGTCAAAGTCACATACTAGAAGATTATTGGAGCTGTCTACAAGCAAACCATACGGCGTTTTAAATTGTCCATCTTGATACCCTTCTTTGCCAAACTTGTATAAGAATGTTCCTGACTGATCAAAAGCTTTTATGCAGTGGTTGTCTCCATCAGATACGAGAAACATGTTTTTGTAAGGAATGCAGCAGGTTGGCCTACAGAGTTTCTCTGGGCCTTTGTCTCCAAATGTGAAAATAGACTGTCCCTCGTCTGACATCACCTGTATCCTATTATTGCCCCACTCGGTTACAACAACGCGCCCTTCATCGTCGACGGTAACGTCTACTGGATTTCCTAGCTCTCCTTTTTCTTTACCGATTTTTCCAAAACTTTTTACTACAGTTCCTGTGTGAATATTAAGTCGTTGTATTGTGGAATTCCCTAAGTCTGCAATTAGGACTTCGTTGTCATTTAACAACGAAATACCATCCGGGAACTGAAATTGTCCTGTGTTGTTACCCTTGCTTCCAATTTTTCTCACACAATTGCCATTTATGTCAAAGACATAAACACAGTGGCCAAAGTTATCTGTCAAAATTATCTGGCCCTCTGTATTCACAGCAATTCCATATAACCGTTCAATCGCGTCCCCTTTAAAGAGCTGTAACTTTAACTGACTGACCACAAGTTCACGTTCTTTAACCTGCACTGTCGTGGGACAGTGCGGCAGTTTATCGCCATCAATCTTCACCTCAATGCTACAGGTGCCAGGTGCTTTGGGAGTAAACTTCAATCTAAGATTGCCGTCTTCTTTCTCTTCGACAACCACGTTTCTAACATCCTTGACGGGTTTAATTAACAGTTCGACACGACCTTTAAGATTAGCCTCGTTACTCATCTCTCCTCTAGATGTCTTTGGATATAACGTAAACTCTGCTTCCACACCAGCCTGCAAAGTTTTATCTAATCCTTCTATTGTTGATTTAGCAGCCTTTGCGGTGTCTTCAGTGACTTCAATAAAACCCAGTTTTAAGTCCTTTTGAGATGCCGCAGTGAATTTGACGAATGACGTCTGCTGATGTTTTGGAACTTCAACTCGCAGAAGCTCTTCAAATTTGGTCTTTAAAGTTTCTTTGTTCTGCATAATATCCGAGCTTGAGGTTCTCTGCACCAGATTTTCTGCAAACTGAGCTGCTTGGTTAATTTGTTTTACTAAGGATTGCACTTCCCGTTTAGCCGAGTTAATTATATGGAGTCTCGACACGCGTGTTGCCTCCAGGGATTCCAACGCCTCTCGCTCGCGCTCTCGAATATTTGCGATCATTTGTTCAGCTGCTTGCTTGACGCTTCGCTTAGCCGTTGCCATATTGCTTTCCAGCTTAGAAATGGTTTCTTCAAACTGCCTAATGACTTCCTGGAGCTCGCTTTCCATATTCTTGATCAATTTTGCGCCCGACATGATGTTATCCTTTTCCTCGTGGGCTGCTTTGTCGAGAAGAACAACTTTGTGGTTTTGATGATCCGTGACTATGCAAATTGGACAAATGCAAACCTTACACTGCGAGCAAAAAAACCGTGTAATTTCTCTCTCGTGGAACTCTTGAGAACAAAACGGTTGCCGCCTCAACAATGCTTCGTAATCTTCTGCTTTGAAGTCTTGAACTGGCGTGACTTTATGTCCTTGAAAAGACTTCTTGAGCACTTCATGTGCGTTGAAACAATCAGGGCACATGAATCGTCCACAATCGAAGCAGTAGTACATCTGAGGGTTGGTTGCGCTGCATTGATAGCAAGTAATGCTACTTGCCTCGCCACTTTGTCGAACAGCGAGAAGACTCAACAAACTTTTATGGAAAAAGCTGTTAGGCAAACGGTCGAAGCGATTTCCTTCTGGTAAATCGATCGCTGCCTGACACTCGGGGCATCGGAATTTTCCCTGTTTCTGGCTCACTCTTGCATGTTTCTCTAGACATTCACAGCAAAACGTGTGAAGACATGATATAGTTTTGGGCTCGGTGTAGGTATCGAGGCAAATGGAACAAGTAACTTGTTTCCTGAGATTTACCAAAAGCGACTCCATCGGTATTGACAATAGGTAGAAACAATGTATGTGGGCAGTTTCGAATTGTTTGTGCGAGAAAGTCTGGTAACCAATTTTAACATCAAGTTGAGGCTGAGGGGAAACATGGCAGCGAATAATGCCCTCTTCAAAAATATGAAAGTTCCAGAGCTACACAAGTTTTTAAAAGAAATTAGAGAAGAATTAGGTTATCAAGTTTCAAATTGAAAGCTGTGAGAATTGAAATATGTGTAGAAAACTGATGGTGTCCAATATTTAAACGCGGAGGGCTGTTTTGGATGATCAATTGACTTCAAATTCTCCTCAGGATCATCTGTGTGAGTTTTTCTTCCTTTTAGTGCTAAATACAAGCCCCTTCAACAGTTTTGCAGAATCTAGATTGATAGATTGAATGACCTAACATTGGTGATCACAAATTATTTTCTTGTATAGTATATAGCACAGATGCAAACCTCTGTAAATCCTAAATCTTAAGATGTTTGAATTTGGATAACATGTCCCCTTTTTCCCTCCCAACTGCCCACTTTTGTCCAGAAATGCATGCAGTAACAAAAATAGCAGATTTCATGAAATTTCGTTAAACAAAGTGAATGTTCATTCATTTTCGTCAAACTGAGGGAATGTTCCTGGATTTGACAATTTTAGCAAGTTTTCACCATTTTTATTACTGCATACATTTCTGGACATAGCTCAGTTCCCAAATTTATTGCAGCGATAGTTTTGTCTCAAATTCTCTTCGACCCACATAATGTCAATATATTACTGAGATGGATGCACAACATTTAAAAAGAAAGAAAGTTAAATTAGCATTAAGTATTATAAATAATTATTACTAACAATAATGATGATGATTGAATAAAGAGTTACAGTGGTAGTCAAGGACAACATATGTATTCTTGGATAATTATTGATTAATAAAATTGATTTATAAATTATACAAGGCAGAATGATGCAAACATTATGTTTAGGTCTTGAAAGTTCTTTTTGAATAAATTGCCAATTATTATTCAATTGATTTAATATCTTGGTTTTTTGTCATTTCATGCAGATCTCTGACCACCTAGGACTGAATTATGGCTAAAAGTTTGGATATGAAGCTGCAATCAATGCCAATAGCACAGTGAATCAAAGAGTGAGTGTTAACTTGACTGTAATTTGACAATTCCTGATAGCTTTTACATTGTAGGTTTATTAACACCAAATTTTAACTTGTGTCTTTAGACCATATAAATAAAATAAAAAATTGCTCACTGAATAAGAGTGTGGGTTTAAACTATGACAGATTATCCAGAAAAAAAAGATAGCAACTAGCTTATGCCACTAGCCTGGTGCAATCAGCTTATGCCACCACCAATTAGCTCATGCAATTAGCTAAATGAATGCCACTAGCCAATGCCACTAGCTATGCCCCTATCCATGCTACTGACATCATACCACTCACCCTGGATGGGAGTCCATACCTGGGCTAGTGAATCATGATTGAATGATTGTGGCACAAGTGAAACATCACATTAATAATTGGTAAAATCTTCAATAGGAAGCTCAGATACCTCCAGATGATGACATCAAGCCAAGGCCACCTAGTGGAGGAGGTTCTAGCAGTGGAGGAGGTCACATTGGATTTGAGGGCTATGGAGCAGGCTCTAACAGGCCAGGTATTCGACCCATGACAGGAGGTAACATGGGATATGCAGCATACCCTCCACCAATACATGTAAGTCATTGTTCCACCATAACTGCATAGATGTACATTTAACTTACATGCATGCTGCCTCACACAAGTCACTCAAAATACTAACTGAGGAAGACTAGTCACTCTTAATTTTGGTGTGGGGTTATAAAAAGTTGTTGAAAATGAGAGAACCCTTCAGGGCTGCAATGCCTTTTTCATTTTTGTTTCTGTGCTATGCAATTCTGCAACACATAAAAGGCACTTAGTGCAATATTGCATGATGCACTATAACCCTTTCACCCAGGATCTCATTTAGTAATTCTCCTTACTGTCATACAACTCTTAAGATGTTAGTTCAGAGAATTTGGTATTGGATCAACTTATTTCATCTCATCACTTGTTTGCTTGATGTTGTCATGATATTGCAATGAGAAATTCTGTCTTCGTCATTCATATGAGTGAAAGGGTTAATATTGCCCCTAGCACTTGTTTTTAGAGGAAGAAACATTGTTGGAGCCTCCAGTCTAAATATGGTTGTTATGACTGATATTGATGGTAAGCACTTTTGGAGGTTTTCACCATAAGATGGGGTAATATTTTAAGGCATAGTACTCAGTCATGCAAATGAAGAGAGGCACTCAAAATATCACATAACATTAACAAAATAATTTGTTACAATTTGTCAAATTTGAAAATGATAATATTAACATGGCTGCATCTTTTTTACTCAACAGGGAAATCTCCCACCCTACCCCTCTGGTCGGCCAGATGTACCACCAAGTTATCCTTCAGAAAAAAAGCTACCCCCTACCCTGGGGGCCCTCTTAACAACCACAATGCTGCCCCCTCTCCACCAGGTATGCATTAACAATGTTGGTTTCTTGTAATGTTTAGCTAGATGACCTTCTAAAACTTGGTATTTCTCTTCAGTTTTGCAAGTATAAATCACATTACAGTTGTGTACTTAGTTGCCAAGCCTTTGATTTGGAGTGAGGCTGAAGGTGACTGTCTTGTGACAGAGACCAGTATCTAGTTACCATGATACCAAAGTAATTTACATTTGAAAAAAGAGCAACATTTGTAACATAACGAGGTCACCTTTGCCTTGCTCCTGTTCAAAGACTTGGAAACCAGGCACACAATTGTTAAATGGACTATTCTAACTTGCCCCTGATTTTGTAAGGGTACATTGCATGCCTTACAATTGTTCAGCATGCTGCTTTTTTTTTTTATAAAATCAGGAGCAATTGTCCCACAAGGAAATGATATCAAAAGGGCAAAATTATTTGCTTGAGGGTGTTTGAATTAATATCAAATTCTCTTAACCTCTTACATCCAATGTCAGTGTTCATATTCTCCATAATGTTCTCTATACATTTCCTATGGTTCTGACAAAAGGAATTTGTTTAACAGTCAAGAGCTCCTTTAGTGAATGATTATTTCTTTTATTCTTATGACCTCAATGTTTGATTCAGCAATCACTCATGGCCTCTTTTTTCAGCTCCTCATCAGCCTCCTACTCCCAGTGTGCCACGCCCTTCATCAGGCCCCAGTTTCCCAGACCTTCCTGCAGTACCTACAGATTTACCAAACTTGCCTGACAGTATTCCAGAAGGTAGCAGTGCTGGCAGTGAAGATGTAGACTTTGATGATCTTACTAGGAGATTTGAAGATCTTAAGAAGAAGAAGTATACTTAGCAAAAATGTTTGGTCATGAATATTGTGAAATGTAATCAAGCTCATACTGTCTTTAAATACAATTTTGTAGTACTGGTAAATCTGCCTTTTGTATCAGTAATTTTATGCCTTTCTCTCTCTCTGGATGGGTGTTGGAGCAATTTTCACTTGGTGTACAAAATTCTTTTCCTACCAGTCAGATGTAACATGACTGTATATGTAAAACCAATCAGGGTTTAATTAATCCTGTAGCCAAGGTTTTTGAGTGGTGTTGAATTCTAGGTCCATTGTTATTATATTTGCCTTTATTGAATTACCTTTTGCAGTTTTTTTGTTTTTACATCAAATTACTGAATCAAAGAGCACTCCTTTCTGGCCCCATCCATGTTGCTGTACATTTGGCTCTGGTCGTTGGAAGGTTAGGTAATGCTATTCACTGGATAAATTTCCATCCACTGGATAATGCTGTACGTTTTGCTTTCTCTTATCTGCTGAGGGCAATTTTTCTGTTGGATAGTGTTATCTGCCTTTTTCACAACTGGGCTCTGTTTAGTAATATATCACAGATGACATCAAAAAGCAGTGAAAACAAAACAAATGGTGCATGAGACACAGGTGTGTCACAGAAGTACTTACCACATATTGAAGTCTTCTGTGATCTATTACTATACAGACTAACAGCGACATGGAATCTATTTGTTTTATATGATAACAAAGCAAAAGTTTGTTAATGGCAAGGCCATCTATGCATCTGTTCTCCAATAAATCATGAACCATGATCAAGAACCAATCAAAACACTTGCATAATCCAGCTTATTATATTATTCAAATAAAGCACAGAGTATGTATGTTTTGAGGGAGGTATGTCACACTGAATTTCATAGATTACCAGAAGTGATTAAGAATATAATTTTTTTTTCTAGTCTGTTTACTTTTGTTGTTGGTGGTGTTTTTCTTTGTTTTTTTTAAATCAATTTTCTGTCATTAGTATTGTTGTTATTACAATTATAATTATTATTATTGTCAATATCATTGTCATTATTGTTTTTATTATGATCGCCATTATCTATTGTTTTGGCATAAGGAGAAAACTCAGTATAGTTGGTTTTTTGTTGTTGTTTTGCAGTTTGTTTTTTTTTTAAGTGCACAAATTGGCAATTCATAATGGTAATCATTGTTAAATGTTGATGTAAAAGAGCAGTTGACTTGTGTCAACCGTTTTTAAGCTCTGAGTCCTCTCATATGGCTTATATTCACTGATAAATTTTGACTACTGTACGTACATATATTGTGATAATTAATTTTTAAAAATACTCTTATTTTTAATTTGATCTGCCTTTCTACTATAAGTATGAACAAAAATTGCTGTTGACAGAAGGTACTACTGAATAAAACAGCCAGGTAACTTACAAAATTTACAAACTATAGTCTGTCTTTCATCCAGCTATTTGCACAAGACTAACATACTTGTACGTTCATTTGAAGCTAATTTAAAAAAGGTTATTGCTCTATGCACAGTGCATAGCTTATTAACCCATTACACCCTAACATCAGTAAGCATATTCTCCATACTGTTCTCTAAATATTTCCTAACTTACTAACAAGGAGAATTTGCTTAATGATCAAGAGTTTCTTTGGCTGATGATCATTTCCTTTATTCTCATGACCTTATTGTTTGATGTAACAGTGATACTGTGAGGAGAAATTATAAGCTAGTGACACTAAGGTACTAAAGGATGTAGTCCCTCTAACTAAATGTCTATGAATAATACATTTAGGCACATTTTTTCTTTTGTTTCTGCTCGTTATTGTTGGTTTCTTTTGTTTTTGTTTTTTTAGTTAGTTTTTAACTTGCCAATATAAAATTTTACCTGCTTAAAGAAAGAGCTAAAGGTGACTTAATGCTTTGGCATCTCAAAACATCCAAAGAGATGGAAAAAACACTACATTCCTGTTTGCCAATTATATTTAAAGTATAAATGACATCGACTTAATTTTTTTTTTTAATTTTCTAGGGGAGCAAATATAGATGATTTTGTAAGTTTGAAATGATGTTTCCCAATAAATTTTTTCAAATAATTTTATTGAAAAATGTTATTTATATTTAAAACTGGAACATATTTTCTAATCATCCATTACAACAAACTGGAATTAACTTTTAAGTCTTATTTATTTAATGCATTTCTAATTTTTCTCGCCCTATTACATAGAAGAAAACCTGAGACTATTTCTTAAAATAAATAGTTTAAATAGTTTAGAGCTAACACTTAAGCTTAGTTGGAAAGTCAGTAACCACCTCTAATTATGACATAATTACCCAGTAGATGCCCATTTTTAAAAACAGTTGACCAATCAATGACTGCAAAAAGCAGCACTCGGTCTTAACGTTTTCCACCTATATATTCTCAGGCTATAAAAAAAGTCAAATTTGTTAAATGTTTCTATACAGCATGTAGTTGTTCTGCTGAACTAGACATTTTAAATTTCGTGGTCTAGATTATTCAAACCACCACTGATGATGCGGAGAAATACCTTGACCTTAAATAAAAAAAAATCAAAGCCTTTAGATCGGAGAAAAAGCAATTAAAGAGGATAATAATTAACCGAGAAGAAACATGGATGGCCAAGTGAGGAAGGATGGGGGAGATTAAAACGGCTTGAAACTGGCGAACTTGAAAGACCAAGGCTAATTACTTGGAGTCAAGAAATATTCGTATCTAAGAGTAATTGTAAGTCTTGTGGATATTATCGCTAAGAGTTCTTCCAGACAAGTGATAAAACAGCGTAAAAGATAAAACAAAACACAGGTTAAAGGAACGGCTCAAGAAGCGAAGTTCACTTTTGAAAGAGTCTATTTCAAAATATACACTTTTTTCTCATCATTGCTAGTAACAAGAATAAGCCCGTCTTGTGCTTTTGTTATCGCCACAGGATAAGATAAATGAGTGATACTTTTGCCGGTGAAGCGACCGTCTAAAGCAAACTGTTGAACTCGGTTATTGCCAAAGTCACATACTAGAAGATTATTGGAGCTGTCTACAAGCAAACCACGCGGCAGGTTAAATTGTCCATCTTGATTCCCTTCTTTGCCAAACTTGTATAAGAATGTTCCTGACTGATCAAAAGCTTTTATACAGTGGTTCCCTGCGTCAGTTACGAGAAACATGTTTTTGTAAGGAATGCAGCAGGTTGGCCTACAGAGTTTCTCTGGGCCTTTGTCTCCAAATGTAAAAATAGACTCTCCATCCTTTGACATCACCTGTATCCTACCATTGCCCCACTCAGTTACAACAATGCGCTCTTCATCATCCACAGTAACGTCTATTGGCCTATCAAATTCTCCTTTTTCTCTGCCTTTTTTTCCAAAACTTTTCACTGCAGTTCCTGTCTGAATATTAAGTCGTTGTATTCTGCAATTGCTTGAGTCTGCAATTAGGACTTCGTTGTCATTTAAAAACGAAATGCTCTTAGGGAACTTTAATTGTCCTGTATGGCTACCCTCGCCTCCAGTTTTTCTCAAACGGTTGCCAGTTTTGTCAAAAACATAAACACAGTGGCCTAAGTTATCTGTTACAACTAACTGGTCTTCTGTATTCACAGCAATTCCATATAACCGTTCAAGCGTGTCCTCTGGAAAGAGTTTTAACTTCAACTCACCTGCCACAACGAGTTCACGTTCTTTTACCCACACAGTCATGGGACAAGTCGGTAGTTTATCGCCATTAATCCTCACTTCAATGTTGCAGGCCCCACGTACTTTGGGAGTAAACTTCAGCCTAACCTTTCCGTCATATTCCTCATCAACAATCACGTTTGTCACATCTTTGGCGGGTTTTATCAGCATTTCTACTTGATCTTTGAGATCAGCGCAGTTACTCATCTCTCCTCCAGATGTCCGTGGGCACAACGTCAACTTTGCTTGTACACCAACCTGGAAAGTTTGACCCAGTCCTTCCAGAGTTGATTTAGCTGCGATTGCCGGCTTCTCAGACACTTGAATAGAACCCAGTTTAAAGTTGTGTTGCGATGCAGCGGTAAATTTGACAAATATATCCTGGCGATGTTTTGGAACTTCGACTCCACGAAGCTCTTCAAGTTTCAACTCGTTTTTGTTCTGAATGATATCCGCAGCTGATCTTCTCTGCACCAGATTCTCCGCAAACTCAGCTGCTTGGTTCATCTGTTTTACCAGAGATTTAAGTTCTTGTTTAGCCGAGTTGATTCGCTCTATTCTCCTCCTACGCGTCATTTCTAAGGATTCTAAGAGCTGTTTTTCTTGTTGTCGCGTCATTGTGATCACGTGTTCAGTTGCCTTCGACACTTCTTGTTTAGCGATTGCGATAAACAATTCCACATCCTCTGATGTTTTCTCTAGTTTACTTAACTCTGCTCGAAACAAGTTTGCCTTTTCCTTGATGGTCTGGACAGTCGACAGGATGTTTTTCTTCTCCTCTTGCACTGCTTTTTCAAGCACGTCAAACGCATGGCCTCGGTGGTCTTCAGTGACGCAAATTGGACAAATACACGCCTCACACGAGGAGCAGTAATATCGTAGTCTTTCTTCCGTATGTTGCGAGCAAGTCTCCTGTTGTTGCCTTGGAGTGGCTTGGCGATCTTCCGCTTCAAGGACACCTAACAGACTTTTGTGAAAAATACTGTTAGGCAAAAGGTCGAAGCGATTTCCTTGCGGTAAATCGATTTCTGCCTGACACTCGGGGCATCGGAATTTCCCTTGTCTCTGGCTCACTCTTGCATGCGTCTCTAAACACTTACAGCAAAATGTGTGAAGACATGATATAGTTTTGGGCTCGGTGTAAGCATTGAGACAAATCGAGCAAGTAAATTGTTTCTTGATCTTAAAGAGAGGATTCATAACGATCGCCTAAGATTGTAGTTGACTGATGCGTAATCAAGCGACGAGCCCTGTCAAAACACTCATACGAAATCTGAGATATTATTTCAGTTTCCGAGAAAACAGCATTAAGTCCATGACAGCTGACTTCCTCTGGCCAATCGCATTCCAGGCCTTAGCTGACCTTTTTGTAATGATAAAAAGACCATGTTGACTGAGATGAAACCTCGATTTTAGACAACCAAACTTTCGGTAATTCAAGTTGCTTCAAATAAAAGCAATTAAAGACAAGAATTTCAATAAATGTGATTTGGACAATGCAGCAAACGAGGCTTTTTTTCGTATATTTATGGTGAGTGGTCAAATCAATCTTCGAGTGATCTATCATAAAAGGAAATTTAGTCCAATTGCACTAGAATGGGTAACGAAACATTGGTCATTGTCACAGACAACAGACGTTTTAACCCTTTACACCTAAACATCAATACGAATATTCTTCATACGGCTCTCTATACATTTCCTAATGTACTGGCAAGGAGAATTTTTTGAACAATCAATAGTTTCTTTAGTTAATTATCATTTTCTTTATTGTCGTGACCGTAATGTTTGATTCATGTGTGATATTGAAAGGAGAAATCAGATGCTGATCATTCACAGATTAAGGGTTAAGGACCACTCTTACCCGGAAGTTTGCACAACTCAGTCGTTTCACAATAAGTCCGCAAATCTCATGGTGAGATTGTTCTTCTTGGTTCTCAGACTGTCATCAATGTGCATTTCGAGGAGTCCTGTAGTTTTAGAAAAGGATGGGCAGTGCATTAAAACATTCAAACAAACCGGCTTTGTTTCAGATTCCTAGAAAACAGAACAAAGTCAGCCGTCGACTTATTTATAATTAAGGCTGTCACTTCATGGCTCAGTTGACCTCTATTGTAACGTTAGACTGTTTATCTTCTGCGAAATGGTTGACTGAATTTACAGTTGTCTTTCTAAGAGACTTAAAATGTTTGAAAATGTACCGTTGGATAAAGGATGAAAGAGTTCGGGGATTTTAACTGAAGGGAAAACTTCGTGGCTGCATGAGGGAAATATTTAAATGAGAAACGTGTAAAGATTCTAAAAAAAAGCGCGAAAGGCGCGTAAAATCTTCTAACCTTCATCGCTGCCAAGCTGTTTCGTTTACAGTTACAATCGGTAGGATACGGATTCTTCTTGTTTTTGCAGATATTCCGTCGTCAGTGGCAACCCCTTCTCGCATGAAAGGAAATTTGGCTGGCAACATCCTCATCAGCTGAGACCGAGATGATAATTCGTGATTTGCATTCCTCTGGCAAGACATTCAACTATATTTCTCATCCACAGATATTAAAACACTTATGGTTTTAAGGACATCATTCACTGAAAATTTGTAAAAGTGGGAAGGGGTAAGTGAATTGAAGGTTGAAAAAAACAAAACAAAACAAAACAATACGATATTTCAATTTACTTGCTTCAGTTGACGATGGAAATCAAACTTGATAGTTTTAATCGACAGAATTATTATCGAAACGAAACGCCGTCACGTTACGAAAATCGACAATAGCTAATCGAAGTGAGATTATCAAACATGAACGGACAGTTTGAATTAATTTCTTATTTGTTGTAAGTGCTGTAGCTTTTGTTATTGAAAGATTATGTTGTTCAACAATGTCGGCAATCGTAAGCGATTGAGAATTCAAATTTTGTATCTTCAGGTCATGCAGCAAGGCACGCGAGCTAATTTATGCAAATTAGCCGCATGTCGCTTGTTTACCTCGCTTCCCTTTCGCTCGCACTTTGTTGGCGAGAAATTAGGAGGGGGGGGGAGGTGGTGGGTGGAAGGAGGTAAGAGATAACTAAGAACTCTTTTTTTATCATTTTTGATTCATTTATAAACTCATTTATTTATTGCCTTATCTTCGAGTCAGTTTCTCTGTAGTAAAGGCAAATAGAGAAGATATGGAAAAAGCACTACATTTACTCGTTAAAACTTTTCTTCTTTTTTCCCAAAAATTATATCTTACGATAGAAGTAGTGCTCGAAAGAACAAAAATGGAAAGCTTTCCGGTTTGATTCCGGCAAAGAGAGATCCATCAAACCATTATTGCAGGTTTAAGAAAAGCTCCTTAGGTCTGCAATACGTGCAAGAGCTGTGATTGTTGTGACACTTGCGATTCACAATGTTTAAAACCCAACCCTGCGAACTCGCTTCTTCCACGGGATGAGTGTCAAGTTCGCTGGACAATCAAGGACATGTACTGAGAAATCTTCCAGGGAGTTTTTATATGAGCATGAAATCGCTGCGGTTCAGCCCATTACTGACATGAAAACTTTAAAATAGCGCACTGAGAACTGCATGTTCAAATCTGTGAGGGTTAATCCTACAACGCTATTGAGTCTTTCCTACCACAGCTTATCTCTGTTTTTGTCACATGAAGAGGTATGGAGTTTTGTTGCCTCAGCTCCGGTTTCCTGATGGCCGATTATATTTACACTATAAATGAATTTGACATAAACTCTCTTTCATTTTCCAGGGAAACCAAGATCTGATGAATTTTCAATTTTTGAAATGATGTTTCCCGATAAATATTTCAAATAACTATCTTAAAATGTTATTCAATTTGAAACCGGAAGTTATTTTTTAATCATTTATAGCAACAAACTGTAACTAACTTTTAAGTGTCATTTATTCAATGCATTTCTAATTTGGCTCGACTTATTATATGGAACAAAACCTAAGTTTAATTTTTAAAAACAGTTGTCACCTTACTTCTTGTGTTTGTTGATTACTTATACATGTGAAATTATGCAATCATAAATTGTTCTTGAATTTAAGCTTAATTAAAGATATATATTTTTAGGCTTAAAAAAAGTGGACTTAATCTATCCTAACCAATTAATGATTACAAAAAGCAGCATATGGTCTTAACGTTTTCCTGCTATATATTCTCAACCTAGAAAAAAAGTAAAATTTTTAGTTTTGTAGTTTTTCTGATGCACTGGAAATTTTTGAGGACTCGCCGTTGATTTTGTTGCTGTAGATTGTTAATGATTAATAATAATTTATTCATTTCTAGTGCACATCTTTACATGACTATGATCAGATGCGCATTCCTAAAGTATACATAATATGATAGAGAACTGAAGAAACTAAAGAATATTATACGTAAAAAAGAGAAAATGCTGATAATATGCTAATAAAATCTCTATTAAGTATATGCAAGACTAAAAAGATAGGTCTTAAGATGAGTTTTAAAACTAGTAACACATGTGTTTGAGCGAAGCTCACTAGGCAGAGAGTTCCACAATGACGGCGCCGCAATGGCGAATGCCCGATCATCAAGCGTGGCCTTAGATTTCACTGATGGCATAGCTAGGAGTAGAGTATTAGAACCCCTGAGATTATAGCATGATGTCTTTAGACTAATTAAGGACCATAGATACTGAGGCGCAAGGCCATGTAACGCCTTAAACGTGAGGAGAAGTACCTTGAAGTTGATGCGTGCCCTGATAGGCAACCAGTGCAAATCGCGCATTATTGGTGCAATGTGACAAAACCTAGGCGCAAAACCTAGTCACTCATCTCTCCTCCAGATGTCCGTGGACACAACGTAAACTTTGCTTGTACACCAACCTGAAAAGTTTGATATAGCCCTTCTAAAACTGATCTAGCTGCGATAACCGGCTTCTCGGAGATTTGACTGAATAGAACCCGGTTTAAAGTTGCGATGCGGCGGTAAATTTGACAAATGTAGCCTGGCTGTGTTTTGGAACTACAACTCCACGAAGCTCTTCAAGTTTCTGCCTCAATTTGTTTTCGTTTTGTATGATATCCACAGTTGATCCAGTTGAGATTCCAGTTCTTGTTTGGCCGAGTTAACTCTCCCTAGTCTCTTTCTACTCGTCTCCTCTAAGGTCTCTAAAAGCTGTTTTTTCTTGCTGTCGCGCCTTTGTGATCACGTGTTCAATTGCCTCCGACACTTCTTGTTTAGCGATTGCGATATTCATTTCCACATGCTCTGATGTTTTCTCTAATTTTCTTAACTCTGCTCGAAACAAGTCTGCCTTTTCCTTGATGGTCTCGACAGTCGATAAGGTTTTTCGTATCCTCTTGCACTGCTTTTTCAAGCAAGTCAAACGCGTGACCTCGGTGGTCTTCGTAAATACACGCCTCACACGAGATGCAGTAATATCGTACTCTTTCTTCCGTGTGTTGCGAACAAGTTTCCTGTTGCTGCCTCGGAATGGCTTGGCGATCTTCCGCTTCAAGGACACCTAAGAGACTTTTGTATAAAAAAAATGAGGCAAACGGTCAAAGCGATTTCCTTGCGGTAAATCGATTTCTGCCTGACACTCGGGGCATCTGAATTTCCCTTGTCATTGGCTCACTCTTGCATGTCTCTCTAAACACTCACAAAAAAAAGTGTGAAGACATGATATAGTTTTGGGTTCGGTGTAGGTATCGAGACAAATCGAGCAAATAACTTGTTTCTTGACATTCTTAAAGAGAGGATCCGTGACGATCGTCGGTTAAACTGTGGTAAACTCATTCGTCATTCGTTATTGGGGAGCGACAAGTGAATTGAAGGTTAAAAAAAAGATGATACTTCGATACTTCAATTTACTTGTTTGCAGTTTGAATTATTTCTTATTTATTATAATAGTATAGCCTTTGTTATTGAATAAAGCATGTTGTTCAACAACATCGGTAATCGTGAGCGAATAAAAACTCAAATTCTGTATCTTCAGGTCATGCAACAAGGCACGCGAGCTAATTTATGCACATTCGCCAATTGTCGCTTGCTTATTCCGCTTCCCGTTTCGCTCGCACTCTGAGAAATCGGTTGAGGGGGGAGGGGTGGAAGGAGGGAAGAGATAAAAACCAACTAAATAAATTTTCTTGGGTTAGACCTTTATCTCAACAAATGAAAATGGACCCTGCTATATTCGTATATATCATGGATACCTCCCATTTGTCTGAACTGACTGAGAATTTCGCAGCA